ATCATCCCGAATGATGGGGTATGGCAACCCCTGAACCCTGGTCGCCTCACTCCCATCGGCATTCTTTGGATACCATTTGCCTCTCAGGCGAGAAGTACTGGTGTGTACGTCCCATGACAGTTACTTGTGAAAAGCCTGAGAGATTCTTCAGAACCGCCACCAGTCTCACGCCCGTACTTGGTCCCCTTTTCCCGCCCTCAGCCGGTGGAACGACATTTAGGGCTGGGATTCCCATTATTCAGTAAAGCTGCCGTTGCCTCGCAAACCAAGTTCAATTCTGAATAGACTGTTCGTATCATCCCTTGCTTGGGCTGGTTCTTGATGTACCTGGGCAACAGTCTCCGGGACTACTTGGCTGTGGGCCTCTTTGAGCCATAACCTGACCTCTCGACGAACCAATCTCGCAGTCATTACGAAGACTCTTGGCCTGCGTTCTTACCGGAGAGGGGTATGCATCTCTCAATGCTAGCATTGAGGCTAGACCGCCATGATAAACCGTCGACAAGGCCGATAGTTCCCAGACGCATCCCTGGCTACAATAGGAAACGGAATGGGGCCATCTCATCACTTCGCAGTCGGTCCTTCCAACTTCTTCTTTGGGACTCGAACAGAGACGACAGGGGTCGATTGCAAATTGTTGCCCGTCTGCCCGTCTGCACGTTTCCTATCCGCATCCATCCAAGACTTGTATCAAGTCAAGTGCTGGCAAGCTGCGCCAAGATCCTTGCGAAAGTGGGCGAGCGCATGGTGGGTGGCGGATGGCGGATGGCGGATGGCGGCTGGCCACGGGCCCGCCCAGGATTAAGGGTGCTATCACCAACACCCGATTAGGCGAGTATCGCGGCATGGAAACACGAGGCCGCGATCAGGCGCCCTTGTCGCCTTTCGAGCAAGGTCATCGCGGGAAAACAAGCAGAGTGTCCAACAAAGTCAAGCCTGGTGCAGCCGTTGATTGTTGGAATGTCCTCGTCAAAGTGGGCGAGGTGTGATTGAGTCGCATTGCGCGGTGCTGTCAGCCAATCAGAGTTCTGTTTTCGCTGCTATAAGCGCCTCGTTGGACCTACGATCTGACAACCACTTTACCGACGACCACTCATTCTTCCGGTAGCCGCCCACGACGGCGGCTTACATGCCGTTGAAATTTTGACAGGACTTGTACAACCTTGAATGCACAGAGAATTTGGTGCTATTTGGCATTTATACGAAAGTCCGTCAGCAAGTTTTGCAGAACGCTGCCCCTTCTCGAGGCGCGGGTGCCGTCGTCCTGTTCGCTTCGGAGGCGGCTTTTGGGCAAGGGTGCTGGAATGAATGGCAGATCGAATCTACAGGGTGGAGGATAATTAAGCAAGGTTCAGTACTTCGTCATTCTTGACCAGGCATACAGACATGGCCTAGACAACAATATCTGCAGCTGGTCGTTGAGTGTCACCAACAGGACTGCACCTCTCAGGCATCAGGGGCTAGCGTCGAAGGGCCGTATACGGACCGACCGTCCCGCGAAGGTCGGGGTGCGGGACCACTGGCGGTCAACATCTCCCTTGGGTCTCTGATTCCGTTGGAATCTCGTAGGAATTACCTGCTTTGTGATGGCTCCTATCCATACCAAGGCCATATCCGTATGGAGCCAACCTGAAAGAAGGTGACCATTACAGTCGGTGATGGAAGGACGTCTTCCCCGCCCCCCCTGACAGGATATCACACTTCTCACACCTGTGGAGTGTGGAAGAAAGCTGAGGCAGCCATCCCATCCTTGGAATGACCTCCCCAAAGTCTCTTTTCGTACAGTACTTGTGCCATCCACAAACAACTCCTGCGTCAGGCGTCCACTAATGCAAGTTGCAATCACCAAAGTTGCGTCGTACTTGTGACGAGACTTGGATCAAGCCGGCAACATGACTTCTCGTGTCAGTGATGGCACTCTTCGGTCATGTCACCGCTCCTTGCACATACAGCCATGTCGTGCTACTACCCAACATACCGCGGAAGACATTATCCGGGGCTCATGATGAGTCTGCAGACGGCCCGCTGGTCGCATGTGAGGCGGGCTTACCCCCCTCTCGAGAAACTTCTCGATGGATTCATCTCAGTATCGACAGGATCGAAGTGTCTCTGCAGTTGGTTGCTGTCATCACGCTCATCCTGGACGACAGACGATGTGGGAACCCACCCCCTCAGAGACTGCAGCTTCGTACAGCATAGTAAGCTGAACCCATGGGGAAATGATTCTCCAACTAGTTGAAGGTAGCGAGAGAATGCTTGCCAAAAGGAGGTATCGGGTTGTTCGTTGGATAGGGGTAAGAGGAGGACACTTCGAATGTTTCCGCGCCTGCAGGCAGAAGTTAGTCTTCGTTCTCCCTCAAGTTGTGTTTGCGTTCAACCCGAGAAGGCGAGATACCATCGTACACTCGTGTTTGGCACACCTTGGCTTTTCCATCCCGCGCTGGCAGAGTATGAGACATACGTTGGTGGCAGCTGCGGTGAGTTCGTTGGTGATATCCTGACACCAGGTACAGTGTAGGTGCAGAGACGGTATGTCGGTCTGTATACTTCCGTCTCGTCTAGAGTAGAAGCTTCGGGCCCACTTTCCAACAGCCTTTTCACTTCTGCTGGACCGGAGGCTCACGCAGTTGCGCTTCGAAGCTGACAATCACGCATTGGAACACTAAAGTCTAAACGCGGGGAAGAACCAAGAGTTCGCCAGCCTTTCACATTCCACCCCGCAAAGGATCTCATGCAAGCAAAGGAGATCAGGAGGGATTCCCGAATCCTACGAACAGCACTACATGGCGAAGAAACGAAGGATGAGACGTGCCGTCCCATGGCATAGCTCCCGCGCGGGCGAAGCAGGTAGCCAACCAGGCTACCAATCGACCAATCCGTGGCGTGACAGCCGGCTACGCCCAGGCATCCACTTCTGGCCGAATCGGCCGGTTCGAGCCGCGATGAACCGATGCAGAGGCAAAGTCTGTGTGGAGGTGGCCGAAGGTTCACGGGATGCGGAAGCGGAAGCGTGAGGGAAGTCACGGCGTTTGCAAGGACGGTAGTGCTTCCGCCATTTACCCCACTACGCACCCGAGGCCCCAGTTGGCTGGCTCGTTTGCCACGGCGGTGCGAGTGGTGTGTCGCAGTGCGATGTGCCATGGAGGCCCCTCCCGCGCCGATTCTCGTCCTTCCGAGAAATCCTCTTTAGCCTTCCGAAGCGTCCAATAAGACACTACCGGCGCTCCGGGGCCGGGCAACTTGGCCTTCGGCGTCTGGGTTTGTTCTGTTTGACTTTGGAAGAGCCTCAAAGCCGGCCATTTCTCCACATTTTTTTTTCTTCCTCTCTGGACGGTTGCCGTGATATCAGATCTGGTGATGGTTGCTACGCAGAACCTCATTGATTGCTTTGCTGCAAGCCTTGAGTATGCAGCGCCCATTTTTGGCCGTCCTTCATCCACTCAGTAATACCCACCCTCCACCACCCCTGTCTTTTCTTTTTGTTTTTATTTTATTTCCATCTTTGCCAGCGGGTGTCTCGTTTTCAAGCGCACCAACCCCACGTCAGCGACGAGTAAGAGAGGCAGAGACTTCAACGCTTTCCCTCTTTTCCAATGCCCTTCTCTTCTTACCCCATTCGCCAGGGTGAATTTTCGGGCTCTCTGGTCGATTTCGAACCCACCGAATCATTTTTTTTTGTTGATTTTTTATTTTCTTCTTCTGTCCTTTCGCGCTCTTTCAATGTCCTCCTTCTCAACCGTTGTCCGACACAGGCTCGACCACTTAGGGACCCACGTGCACACGTTTCTTCTTTGGAACTGGAAACTGAGCCATGGATAGAATGATCCAGGTCTTGAAGAGTCACAGCACGCCCAAATAGATCCAAGATCGGAGCGAGACCATAATACTGGCAACTTGTCAGATTGGCTGTCGATAAGGGTTTCAGAAACGCCCATGGCGGGGGCCCGTGTTCTTTTTTCTCCGTCCTCTATTTTACCCTTTCTGGACTCTCTGGCTTCTTGGCAAGTTTGGCCTCGATATCTAGCTGCACGAGCAAAGTTGCATTGCCCTGGATTGAAACGCCCGGTACCCAGATGTGCAAAACACGGGGGAAGAGAGCGACACGCAAACAGAGACAGCGAGCGGAGAGGGCAGCATATCAAAATTTAGAACCTCTTGGCTGTGGCTCGTTTTGGATCACAGTACGACAATCCCAGCTGCGATAGCTGCCCAGCACCAAGCAATGTCTAGGAGTGGCAGAGTCGAGACAAGCACTCTTCGCACGGCGGAGCAGCAGCACATCATTTGCCCGTGTGTCATCAAGAGAGGAGACCGAGACAGAGGCAGACAGCTGCAAAGCCAACACAACACAGCACATCCCGGCACAACTTTCCCTTCTGCTATGGCTTGCCTTGCCACCTCCAATCGGCTGCCGATTGGGTCGATTGGGTTACCGCAGTAGCATGTGTAAAACATGCTGTTTTGGGCAAAAATGATGGCGACTCCGGCTTGCGCGCCTCGAGGACAGCATGCACGCCCGGTGCGACGCGCACCATTCATACGTCTCTGGGGTGCAATGGGTGATACGATGCGAGTGCATCTCTTACGACCGCCCGTCTTTGACCACCACCTCAGTCCTGTGTGCCCTTTAGAGAGAGAGAGAGAATCCCGGCTTAAGACGGCACCGTGTGACCGGCAGCCTGTCACCTTACCTTACCTTGACTTGACCATGTGCCGGGGTGGGCGAAGGAGGAGGGCGGAGGAGGGGGAGGGGCATTATCAGGTCAGCCAGCCTCCTCCGCATCGTCCGGGACACACACAACATATAAAGTCGGGCAGGCATCCGCCCTTCATCGCTACCTTTTGGTCTTCACTCTCACAACACTCTCAACCTCTATTGAAACAATTTCCGCATCTTTCGTCAAATTTCCAAGCAGTTGATCTGTCCGCTCTCCAAAATACTTCCACCCCAAAACCACCACAACCAGTACTCCCTCGTACACCAAACACCACAAGCCAAAATGTCTTCTCCCGTCGACAGCTCCGTCTTCCTCTCCCTCGCCCCCACCACTTCGTCCTCGTACCCTTTCAAGGCCCAGCAGACCGCCGCCGCCGTCACCGAGCCGGCTCCCCTCAAGCGCCGCACCTCGAGCGTCAGCAGCGACGCCAGCAAGAACGGCGCCGCCAGCGGCCTGCGCTTCCTCAAGCTCGGCCCCGTCCACTACGGCGAGCACCCCGACGAGCACAAGTCGGACTGGCACCCTGCCCTCCTGGGCTGAGACTTTTTTTTCTGTCACAGTATGCTCTGGAGAGACTGTTTACTGAAAGCGTCATGATTTGTCCAAGCCAGCTCTCCTCCGAGGTGCAGGAAACCGAAGCAGATTTGTCACGAGCAAGCGATTAGACTGGGAGAAACTTATGGGAAACTTTGGCGTACAACTTTTTATTTTGTTTTTACGGCTTGTTTGTTTTGCTTTTCGCGTTTTGTCACATGGGTGCGGCATCATCGCTTCTACGAGCAAAGACCTGAGGGAAAGTCAGGCAAGATTGTCCCAAGCATAGATAGAGTCTGAGAAATGGGACCAAGCGATCCGCAGGAAATGGGAACGGGAGAAAAGTCCCATCACAGAAGGAAAAAAATACCAAATGGAGATTTGACGGCACTCTGATATGACACCCCGACCCTTTGAATTATTGAAAGTTCCCCGTGCATCAGCTGTGACTCACTTGGCCTTTCTGGTACGATGGCTTTACCAATGAACGAATTGCCAGTTGAGAAAAGAGAGAGAAAGAAGAGAAGGAAAAGGTTGACCTGCACGAGAATGGGTGGTGGGCCATGGGAAAGTCGGCTGTACCGCATTTGGGAACCTGATGGACCGCAAGATCAAATAGCCGGGCTGCGCGGATCAAGGGAAGGGCAAGGGGGACGGCGGAGACCAGATGCATGTGTCGAAAGACCGGGGGACACGGCAGAGGGGCGTTGGCAGCTTGAGGGAAGGAAGCTTCTTTCCGTCCGCCTGCTTATCAACCTGCGTTGTTATTGCCCCAACCCGCCCGCATGCTTACAGAGTCACAGTCTATAGACAAAGGGTGGAGGAGCAAAGGGGAATGAGGCCGAAGAATGGAAGACCAAGCTTCCATAGGGTGGGCCATTCATGCACTGATCTGACATCTGACCCCGCTGATCAAGCGGCATGGGGGTGATGGAGGGACGCGCAGCAGCAGCAGCAGCAGCAGCAGCAGCAGCGCGGCTCGTATCTTTGGGCTTGACTTGTCATGTCAATCCGGGCTGGCGGATTGGGATTGGGAGTTTTCTGTTTCAACGTGTACTGCAGTTGGGAGACCCGGATGGAGGTGGACGAAATACAGCTTACCACCACCTCCTCCTCCTCCTCCAGCATTCCTGCGAAACCTGGTGGTGTGGGGTGATGGGATTGATTGGAGTGCGCTGCCTTGCTTTTGTTGCGTGTTTGACGGTTGTTGTTGCCGTCACTTCTGTGACCGCTGTTGTGCCCCCTTCATGTCTTCCTCTCGGTGCATCCTGCAAAGTTGTGACATGCGGGCTGGAATGGAGGGGCACCGAAGGGTCGACTGGAACGGGGGAGGGTGCGAGGGGGATTGCAGTCCGTTGAGACACGTGGGGTAGAGACTGGACATGGCGACAAGGGGTTTTCTAATGCCGAGGCTGAGCGGGTTTCGATAGTTTCGACTAGTTTCTCTATCTCGATTGATTTTGGTTCGTCTGTTTCTTTTGTCTTCTTACTGTGACTGTTTACCTGCTCGGGGGCTGTGGTGAATGTGATGATGAGGTGCGATTGGCGTAGACGCAGTCTGTCTAGAGTCTCTTGGAAGTGTGCTCGAGTTTTATCGCAGTGGTCGGGCTTAGTTCGCAAACCATCTTTTGTGCCTGCGGGTCGCAGAGAGTTTCGGGGGGGGCTAGCTATGGACTACACTATGCAGAACGTCATATTCCGGGCCCTGCGAGTCAATCTTCTTATCTACGGGACGGCAGCTTACATAGTAGGAGTCCCTGGTTTCTGGCGTTGGTCAGGTTTGCTTCTGCAGAGTGCCTGTGCCTGTGCTTCCTTGCTGTCAGGTCTCCGACCGCTGGTCCCCCTGTCAGGCAGATGAGAGGTGAGAGACTTGGGCAAGATCTACGGGGTCGAATCTGGCATGTGACCGCTCTGCCGGCCGAGAGCCCTTGGCATCCTGGCACCCTGCACCGCAGTTGCCAAATTTGGAAGATACTCGTGCTTCATTCGTGTATTCGATATACCGCGTCTGAGTCGAAGTGAAAATCCTATGGCGAAAATGCAGACAGAGCTGACGACGAAAGGACCCCACAGGATTTCCGTCGATGATACAATCTCCGTCTCCGTTGACGTCACGGCATTGAGGAAGGGCTGAGAATGTTTGTGCTGGCAGTCTTGACGTGTCCATTGTCTTGTCTGGCCTGTCTCGATCCAAGGGACTGCCGCGAGACTTCTCGACAGCCGCAGCATCAAGGAGGGCGGACAGGAACAGGTCTTGGGAAAGCCCGGGCGCCGGCCCGGGCCCGACCTTCCGACACGCGCCAAGATTGGACGGGATGAGGATGTGCAATGCCGCCGCTTGTCGTCCCAACTTTTTCTTGAGCTCCCTAGCGGTAAGGGCTGTCACTGAAAAGTGCCGAAATAGCAACGGGCGTTTGCAACCAAACGCACAGTACCTGCGTTCGATTCGGTGAGAAAACGATAGAGTGGCAAGAGCCGGTACCATATGGGTCCGGGAGCGAAGCCGATTCGTGAGGTCTCACGCCAAGCTTGGCTATTGTTCGAGGAAGGGAGAAAAGAGGGCGGGCAAGCTTGAGCGAGGTCCCAGAAGTGGCCCAAACGGTTGAGTCGCCGCAGATGCGTGGGCGGAGCCATCTTGTGGCTACCCATGGGAACTTTGAAGCAGTCTATCATCTTGGCGGTTCTGCTGTGCTGGCCTATAGGGGCCTTTGGGCGGAGGAAGGTTTTGTTTCTATCTAAAGATCTTCCCGTGCCGGGGGAGGTTGGGAGGCGCCTAGCGACGTAGCACCCAGACTCGGCGTGAGGCTCGATAGTCGTTTCGGGCGTGCCACGCTTGGCGCCGTGTCAAAGAGGCGGTGGGAAATGGAGGAGGGCAAAAGGGGGTACGGGGGGTTTTGGTGTTTGACATTGCGGAGCGGTGGCCCGTGGTTCTCTTGACTAGCCCCCCCGGGACGATCACGGCCCCACCCGGATGCGGGAACGTGAGCGAGTTGTGGGGCCGTTGTCCGTCGCCGTTTGTTTTGCCCGGTAGATGCACTGTGGTGATACGGCTGCTAAATGTTGTTTTTTGAGCACTGTTTACGCAGTAGCCGGTGTCAGGTCTGTTTATAGAAGTCGGTTTCTCTTAGGTTCGTTGGGCCAGTCGAGACAGGTTTCGCTTTGCAACGTTTACAGTTGAGACAGTGCTCTTACAACAGCAAATTACATGGAGTTGGAAGCGTAACAAAGGCGGCGAGGAGAAATTTAGGGACGTAGATAAGTACGAGAGACCTATACTTGTCATGTGTACGGCTCTCGATATCTTGCGGTGTCTCTGCATCACTAGTCTTGTGAAATTTACCACCGTGTATTTTGTTGCAGATCGTCGCTTTGGCTGACTGTACCCCTCAAGTTCTGTGTGCAAACTGACGATACGTACTATTCTAGCAACACCAAACATAAAGTAAACGTCGAGTTATTAGGAACGATTGTGTTTCCTTTGTTATCTGGAGCTGAATAGAACAATAACCATTGTGAGTTATAGAGTTTCATCGCATCGGAAGCCCTGGTTCCAACTGCGCAAGACTCATTGTTTGGCGAGAGAAGCATTTACTGAAAGATGAGGTTCTTGTCTTTCCTTCAGATATGTTTGAGAAACACCGGATGGACCATCTGACCCATGAACTGTAACTCGTGTGCCGTATTCCCATGCCAACCCAAATTGCTCGCATTGATCAGAGGGTGGCAGGCATGTAACCGAATGATTTGACTGTCTCCTTTATGCGTTCACGAGCCGGCGGCTGATCTTAAAGGCCCATGTTCCGCATCAGCATAAGTCATGGAACACTGCACGATGCGGCAGCCAAACGCTCGTGCGCGACCTTTCATCCCTTGCTGCAGCTCTATTTTGAATCTGAGGAATCCGGCGAGCAAATGGCGCAGCGGATCGCAATAGGGCATCAATTTGCTTGAGTTGATCACCTTCATTGACAACTCTCAACGTAGGTGATGGTTTCCGTGAGGTTCTCCCAGACCGAGGTGACCTCGCGTGCATCGAAAAAGTAGGCGGTGACGGTGTAGGAGACGGCCATACTCTCCACAGTCAGGATTGTCTTGGTGAAGATACTGGCAAACTTCATGGAAGGGAGACGTTTTATACCGAACCCCAGGACTAGATCCGACGATGCCTCGTGTAGAACCGCGGTAAGGTCATTGTTGGAATCTTCGAACAGTACAGGCCACTTCATGGTATCGGGAAATCTTGGCAGAACACCATCCGCGAACCCTGTGTCGACTGTTGGCCCGTCATATTCCTCAGGTAATTGGAGCCATAACCGTGAGTCGAAGAGTTACTTTGGTTACTTTTGTCAGGTTCCTTCTAGTGATGTCGAGGCAATCCCTTCCATGGCTCGTAGTGTAGATACGCAATTCAGGGAGAAGATCCATTTGGTTCGAGCGACTCAATCGTCACATCGAGGTTGTTGACGTGTGAGAAGGCCCTTGTGACCTCAACCTTCTCTGCAAGCCTTGCGATACTTGCTCAAATTAAGCTCCTTGGACCATGCCTTTCGGAAGTCCAAAATGACCTGAACTCACTGGCAGTCGAAGCTGCCGTGCTGCATCCTTCAAGCCACCCATGGGATGGGTCATGGGTTTAGGCAGGCCGATATTCCTCGGTGTATCTTCTAGGTCCGGCTGGAGGATGTGTCTTCCTTTAGAGCAAGGTACCGCGCTCCAGAGGACGGATCTTGTTGTTTTGAATAATCATGAAGAGTTGAATCATCAATGAACGAGGTCCAGTCTACTTGAGAAAGTGGAAGGAAAGTTAATGCGCCTTAGGAAAGTGGATAAGTATTAAAATGGGCTCAACGAAGTTGGCCCTGATGGGGCTAGAAGGGACTTGAGTGTGTGACTCCAATTTTGGTCACATCCAAAGCAGACGGACAAGAACCGTCTCAGACCAGATGATCATCAAACCATAAGGTCCGCATCGTGGTCCGCCTCGAAACCTCCAACGTCCCGAAGGCGCGGACTACAGTAGATGATTCCAAGTTACCGCAATGCGCCAGAATCAGTACGGCAAGCCTCTGGCTACTCTCTCGGTCTTTTTTATATCACTAAATCCGGGAGGCCTCCTCTCCAGCTCTGCAGGAATGGGCGAAGAATCCATCGAGAGGACATGGTCAGTGACGTTCCATGGACTGCTGTTTGCGTCTGAAGTCATTGTCATCAACGACACAGGATCTCGTATGCGATGTGAGTCCAGGGCACCGGACGACACCATCATGTACTCAGCACCCCACCCGAACAATACTGAGCTCATGATCCTGACCACAACTAGCAGCCAGCCTCCTCCAGTCGATCGGGATGAGCTGCCATGGCCCCTTCTGGTGCCCCTTGCAGCACGCCACGCCCTCATGAAACTCACACCAAAAGTCGCGGTGTATAGGGTCGACATAGAGCTCAGCCGTCTCGAGGTCCGGATCAGCCAGTAGCCGCAACAGGGCCTTGAACGGCTGAGAATGGGCAAAGGCGTCGTCGCGTCGCGTGATGGCAGCCCTTCTCGACTGCGCGTCGGCGGCATTCTGGTTGAAGACGACCTTGTCGGCGCTCGTCGGGTACAACACGAGCTTGAGGTGGCGCAGGGCGCCGTTAAGGATCATGTCCGCCACAGCCGGCGAGACGTGAGTCTGAAACACGTTGCCCAGACGGCCCGGTGAGAGCTCGAGATACCGGAGGCGGCGGCGGGCCCGGTCATTGCCGAGGAGCCATGGCACGTTGACGTCGCAGATGGCGCGCTCGACAGCGGCACGGGAACCGGTCTGGAGGTTAAGGACGAAGCGATTCTGCTCGTAGAAGACGGCGGAGCCGGCAGCGTAGAGGAGTGGGTGGGAGAGCAGCAGGTCGTGCGGGAAGGGGATCTCTGAGGCCTCGGTAGGGCCTATTTGGATCGGGTTCGGGAGTAGGCAGAGGTACGAGATGATCTGGTCTCGGATCTCGACGGGGAGGTCGAAGAACTTGTCAAAGGTGCAGTTGGCCATCCCGGCGCTGTGCTGTACGGCCGAGCCCGGAAATTGCAGGGTCAGCAGACCTTACGCCTGCCGCGTTGTTGCAGAGCCACTATTATGTATCCTCAGCGTCGACTGAGAATGAAGAGAATACCGGCGAGTGGTTGGATGAATGAGAAGGAGGATAGAGAGTGACGGCTACAATGGGATGAGAAGGGTGGGGTATCCTGCTACCTAATTGGTCGAGCGTGACTTTGCCCCACTGTGGCCACCGCATGTCGACGCCGTCCTCCTGCCCGTGTTAGTTTTGTTTCGACCTCACCTCGAACGACCGAAGAGGTCGTCGACCAAATCGAAGAGATTTTGGAGCTTCGAGGAATTCTCATATCATGAAAGGATATCACAATTCATCCCAACGGCGAGAAAAGCACGCACAACGGAAAGGATGGGGACTGGGTAAACAAAATCTTCCACTAGCGCTATACCTCTTGAAATCACATCCTTGCTGCATTCATACCTTCTACCGTCGCTCTTTCTTACCAATGCCACCGTCGCATCCTTTGAGATGAAGTCTTGAATATGAGCGTTTCAATCTAAACAGCAGAGGAAACCAGATATTAGATGACAAGAGAAGAGGTCCGATACTTGGTATACTTGGTCCTGCCTATGTGCTACGAATGCGCTTCAGCCTAATAGATGAAGTGATATACATTGACCGTGATTCAATGTCTCAACCCAGAATCACAGAAATCCCGACACAGGGCATCGCCCTGCATCAAAACAACTTTGAACCCTTGTCACCTCTTTGCCGGCGGCCTCGAACGGAACTGTCCTACAGATCTCTATGAGACGTGTCCACGAAGCCAACATGCTGGGTCCAGGACCGGTAGACTACTGATACAAGGGAACAGCTGACATGAGGCCCTAACTGTTACTTTCTCGAAGGTCTCTGTCTTATTGGTTTTCATGTCATGACGCCCGTAGACAACTAAGTTGGCCAGTAGCACGTGACACCGTTCGTCTCTAAAAACCACGTACTAAATGCCACCAGTGCTATCTCTAGTACCGAGTCCCAACCCAGTCTAGCGCAGATTTAATCATATCTGTTTGTGAGAAAGTAGGATCTGTCGCCTCTCGCTGGTGTTGTCTGTGGAATTTAGTCGGTTGAGTTCAACATGACAAAGTCGTGATGGTCATCAATACAAAAACCATTAGCTTCTCTAAAGAATACAAAATCTCATACTACGTTACTACACAAACCTTTTCTTCGACTGCTACTACATTTTGTATAAGCCAAAAGGGACGGAAAGTCATTGAGCATTGTGTTCGCCATCCAAGGGAAATTTCGTCCAGCGCAGACTAGATCGCTACTCTTCAGCACCGATCATGACCTGGGCATATGAAAGACGTATCAACATTGCAGGCAATTTCCAGTATAATCACACAAGTACGGGAACAAGCTTGAAGTAGACGTAATTTCATTTCATGTCGCCCTGATCCTTTCTACAGTATCTATGAAAGCCGTAGAAGACGGCACCCGGAAGGCATTCCTACTCGCCCGAGAGTCATGCCAGAGTCGTGTCGTGTGTGAGGTTGTGGAGGTATATGATAAGGGGAAGGCGGCTGGAAGAAAGGAGGAACTTTTAAGTGCCTTTTTGATATCACCTGACCCAAATTATTCGCATCCTGCCTGGCCGTAATCTGTTCGGCCACCCAAACGCAAGAAAGTTGAACCAGATACACCGCAATAAAGCGGCCTCGTCAAAGCCGTAAACATCCTCCGCGCGTCAACAAAACACAAGAAAATTCCTTGTTGTATGTTGAGCATTTATCGGGAGGACATAGCCTTGGTCACGAGACGCTTAAGAGCGAGCTCCTGCTTCTTGAGGTCATCGGCACCGGCGTCGGTGATCTCGAGGGCAGCCATGGCCTCGGAGACCTGCTGCTCGATCTTGTCCTTCTGGCCACGCTTAAGCTTGAGGGACAGGGTAGGGTCGGAGATGATCTCCTCGACACGGCCGATGTAGGACTCAAGCTGCTGCTTGGCCTCGAAGCGCTTGCTGAAGGCCTCGTCGTTGGTCTTGAACTTCTCGGCGTCTGATTCATTGTTAGTAACCGAGTGTTATCAAGAAAAGTTGGGATAGACATACCAGAGATCATGTTCTCGATCTCGTGGGAAGAGAGCTTGCCGACGGAGTTGGAGATGGTGATGTTGGCAGAGCGGCCAGAGGTCTTCTCAGTGGCGGTGACCTTGAGGATACCGTTGACGTCGACCTCGAAGACAACCTCGAGGACGGCCTCACCAGCCCTCATGGGAGGGATAGGAGCAAGGGTGAATTCACCCAGGGAGGTGTTGTCCTCGCAGTTGACACGCTCACCCTGGAAAACGGGGAACTGAACGGTCTGCTGGTTGTCGGCAACGGTGGTGAAGGTTCTCTAAACAAATGGTTAGAAATTTGCGACAAAAAAACGTAGACGTGAAGTAAAAGAACTCGGCAAACCTTTTTAATCGTGGGAACAGTTTGCCCGCGAGCGACGACGGGAGCGAAGATGTTACCCTCCATGGCGACACCAAGGGACAGGGGAACAACGTCGAGCAGCAGAAGGTCGGCGGTCTCGGCGGAGGTGGCCTTGCCGGAGAGGATACCGGCCTGGACGGCGGCACCGTAGGCAACGGCCTCATCGGGGTTGATGCTCTTCTCGAGCTTCTTGCCGTCGAAGAACTCGGACAGAAGCTTCTGGATGCGGGGGATACGGGTAGAGCCACCGACGAGGACGATCTCGTCAACGCCAGACTTCTCAATGGAGGCATCCTTGAGGACCTGGGCGACGGGGTCGAGGGTGCCGTTGAAGGCCTTGGCGTTCAAGTCCTCGAAACGGGCACGGGTGATCTGGGTGGTGTAGTCCTCACCATCGAAGAGAGAGTCGATCTCAATGGTGGTCTGGGCACCGCTGGAGAGGGTACGCTTGGCACGCTCGCAAGCAGTACGGAGACGGCGGAGGGCACGGGGGTCGCCAGAGAGGTCCTTCTTGGTCTTGCGCTGGAAGTCCTTCTTGCAGTGGTCCAGGAGGTTGGTGTCGAAGTCCTGACCACCCAAGTGGGTGTCACCGGCGGTAGCCTTGACGGTGAAGACACCACCCTGGATGTTGAGGAGGGAAACATCGAAAGTACCACCACCCAAGTCGTAGATGAGGACGTTGCGCTCCTTGCCAGACTTGCCGGCACCAAGACCGTAGGC